AGTTCGCATTTGGAGGTAGTGATTGCACTAGAGCATGCCCTGCTTCCACGGGTGTACTATTTTATTTTGAACCTGTAAACTAAACTCTATTAACTCATAGAAACCATTAAAAATAAGACCTTTCCAAATGCTAAAGACAATAAATACATCCATATACAAAACCATTCAGTGAATTAGAGAACAAATAGGTGACTCTCCTCCCTGGGTAAGGCAGAAAACTGGAGAACACCTAAGCTACTTTGAGTTGTTAATCGTTTTCTGAAGATCACAGTTTAGGCCTTAAAGGTAACCAGTTAGCAATACCATCTCCATTCAGTTAGGAAACTATATGCTTTCTGGGCCAAGAAAATGCTCTTAAGCACAATCATTTTAAAACAAATAAACACACTCTGCTTATCTGTGTCTATCTCACCACTCTGGACGTTAATCATCACTGAAATAGATACCCCAGGCCCCCTGCCTCAAAGAGCTCCAAGGCTATAGGACCTCTCCACAGGAATGAACATACATGCCAGGACAAACACCTCAGGAGCCTCACTCCCTAAACAACTATTGTTAATTCCAGGCAAATCTATCATAGGCAAATGCAAGAGAGCACCCAGGAACTGCTCAAAGGCTATTTCAAATAAAATTCCTGTTTGAGAATATGTAGCACTTAATTCAGGAGGAAGAGGATTAAGTAAGCTTTCTTTAACATAAGACTGGCAATAGTATCTTTTAAAAATAGCTTTACATTGCATAGAAATATTTTTTCTATTATTTGCGTTAATTTTCAGTATCAGAATTTGCAGAGAGCACTCCTGTTCTTCCCCCATCATATTGTGTACTTCTTGCATTCAGCCTATGTTATCAACTGAGAGCTGAATTCCACTGTTTTGTTCTTATAAACTGAAATATGTTAGTTTATCCTCTTACTCTTTAGGGAAAATTTGAAAGATTGCCGTATGAAACATTTCTTTGATTTTTATTGTTCTATTCAGGATATTTCTACTCCCCTAGGCTTCATAAAATCTCCAAACAAAACTGATTGTAAATCAGATGACTGACTCAAACTATCTATGTGTCAATTAAAAAATAAAATAAAATAAAATAAAAGGCTTAGGATACCTGCCAGTGTTCACTGTTCAGGCAAGAGGCCTAATGGGAAGCAAATTATTTGTTTGTGGTTTTAAAGTGTCCAGAATGCCTTCAAGCACAAGTATAAGACCATTAGCAAATCACAAGGAACCAAAGCAGTTCATCTTACTCAACAAAGCTATGATCAGTTAGGAACAGCCGAACTGAGTAAGACGTGCCCTGGGCCGGAAGGTCAGTAAACCTTAGCAGTTTGTGTTTCTGAGAATCAAGAGGCTCTTCAGCCCAGAGTACAGACCCTAAGTCCACAGGTTCTGCTGTCATGTTTCCAAAAACATTCAGGACAGGTGAAAGAAACCAAGCAGGGGGTGTGTGTGTGTGTGTGTATGTGTGTGTGTGTGTGTGTTTTTCCCCTTTGTCTTTAGGCAGCACCTCTAAGTCAAACCAGCCCCACTTATGCTATATACAGACTAACTAGAGGAGAAGCCAAGCAATTAAAAAGTCCCATTTTACAATTTATTGAGTGCTTACTATGTGCTGAATGCTGTACTAGCCAGCATTCTACATTTAAGCCTCATTTTACCAGGCAAGGTTATTCCCATTCTTTATAGATAATAAAACCTAGGACCGGTGAGGTTATGTGGCTTCTGATAAAATCAAGTTTTGTGTAATGCTGATAAAAACTCATCTCACTTACTAGTCTGCAGTTAATTAGCCCAAAGCATGAAAGAAAGCTCTGCTACCATCCAGTCATACTTTTGCTGTACTTTGGAATCAGATTCGCTGACTCCCTAAGTGGACTGGGGTACATGCCTTCTCCCTCCAGGGATGACAACCACCTCTCTCAGTGGCTTATTAAGTCTCTGCAGCTGTCCAGAAACAGACCACACTGGTAAATATTCTCTCCACCTGCTGTAACACGCATAACTTCTTCCCTCAACCCAGAAAACCTGAGCAGTGACCCTGCTCTTTATCAAGGGCTATGGTAAAACAACTTCCCTAGAAGGCCAGGACACCTTACCCTAGGACACGGGCAAGAAATCAAAACACCCATGTTACCACGATCAAATAATAAAGCCGTATCATTTGGCAATCTCAAAGCATTTTACACCATAAATTCATAAATTCATTTTCATTTTTTTGTTATTACTGCTACAGAATGTAGACTCATTCCCAATATCTCTCTTTTAGAGCATTTGAAAATAAACACAACTTCTTTCATTTATTCACTCAATCTCTATATGAAGAGAAAGAAAGCCAAACTTTGCCTTGGCTGGCTTGAGTTCCAGTCATTTTAGACAACTTCTCTTATAGGTCAACTCCTAATATTCTTTGAAAGAGAATAACAAACTATTTCTGCAGGTGACAAGACTGCATACCCAAGAAGTCCCAAAAAATCATTATCATGAACAAAATCATCCTAAAATAAAATTAAAAACCACAAACCCAAAATTTACTTAGTCATTTTCTACATTCAATAATACCCAGCCAGAAAGCATGCCAAAGAGAGTACTTTTGCAATAAAAATGAAATGCATAACATATTTAGAAATACATAGGAGTAAGTGCAACAACAGATACGTGAAAACTTTATCATGAAAACCACAAAAGTTCTTGGAAAAGCGCAAAATTTTTTTTTTGGTGGGGAGTTGAACAGAAGTGTAGAGGTGACACACACATATAAATTCAACAGGATAATCTTACCCTGACAGATACCAGACTCTACCAAAAAGTAACAATATTTAAAATAGTATGGAAATGGGAAAATATATCAGTGACACAAAATGGAGTTCAGATATAGATCCAATATACACACATATGTATATGTGTATATATGTATATATAAACATTATATGGCAAAATAAGCTCTCCAAAACAAAGGAAAAGAGAATTACTTAACAAAGTTGTAATGATAACTAGGTAGTCGTTGAGGCTACCTAACAAAAATAGTACGTTGAATTCACCTACTGCACCAAAAGTGATATTGATGCAAGTGTTAACTATTAAAAAATCAAATTAAGCCGGGCATGGTGGCTCACACCTGTAATCCCAGCACTTTGGGAGGCCGAGGCCGGCAGACCACCTGAGGTCAGGAGTTCAAGATCAGTCTGACCAACAGGGAGAAACCCCGTCTCTACTAAAAATACAAAATTAGCCGGGCGTGGTGATGCATGCCTATACGCCCAGTTACGCCAGAGGCTGAGGCAGGAGAATTGCTTGAACCCATGAGGCAGAGGTTGTGGTGAGCCAAAATCATGCCATTGCACTCCAGCCTGTGACCAGACAAGAGTGAAACTCTGTCTCAAAAAAATAAACTATAAAAAAAAAAAAAAACAGTGGAAAACAGATTTATCAGATCTGTGGAGGAATTATAAATTTGTCAGCTATGGGGGGAAAAAAGAGGAAAAAAAATCACAAAAGACTGGCAGAGCCTAATAAAGTGTAAAACAGTAAAGTAAAATCAATTAACTGGGAAAACTGTCTGGATCAAAGACGGCAGACCAGATTCTAACATCTAAGACCCACAAAGATTCCAAATTTATAAGAAAAACACGAAGACCCCAGTAATAAATGGGCAAAGAGTGGGAACAGACAGTCTCGAAGGTGAAACAAACACCTGGGAAAATATTTATCCCAGCCAATGGTAAAAGAGATGCAAAATAACACAACTTTGATACCTTGATAGCTCACTAAAGCAGCAAAGATTTTCTAAATTCTCACATAAAACTTTTTCGCTCTGTACTGGTCCCGCTCTAACTTGGTACAGCACCTCTGCAAATCATAACCTCTGCTATAATGCCACCTTGAGACTTTATCCTAAGGAACTAATTTTTTAAAATATGTATGGTATGACATGTGACTTATATTTCAGTAAAGCTGTTACTCAAAAATGCGTTATTTCATTATCTATTAGTAAAAAGCTGAACACAACATGTAAATTTAATAGAGGGATGTTCAATCTCATGGGACAGCCCACAAACACTTACTATGCATCTATTCCGTTAGGATCAGTAAGACAGCAACTATGTGTGCACCTGAAAAGTTTTTTAAATGAAAATAATTGTCTAGAGGTGATGGTATTATAGCTTTTTATGTTTTTAAAAACTTTCTCTAATGTCATAATGTGCTAGAAAGAACTACCTTTTTATTAAAAAAAAAAAAAAAAATGGGTGGAATAGGGGCAATCTGAAAGCTCTCAGTCCCTCAATTCCCTACAGGTTTTTTTCTTCCTATTTAACAGCTTAAGTGGCTGAGGAAAGTTTTTCATTCACAGGTCTCAGACCCTACCAAAAACAGGCCAAACAGCAATATCATGTCTTGTACACAGCCTAGACCAACTCCAGCCTCCTGCCTCAAGCAGGCCCCCTTTTTCGTATGGAGTCATAAACTATATGGCTGAACACCAGGACGGAGGGCGTTCCATTAGGGTCCGAAACCTGAAGCTTAACAACCTTTAGAGGAGGGTAGGGAGAATGAAAGATCAAAGGCCACAAAAATATGATGATACACCACTTAAGGAACCTGGGTCCTAGACCTGGACTGGAGGAGTGGTCCAAAGCACGAAGAAACCACATAGACCAACCTGGCTCCCCTGGGGCTAAGGAGCCGAGGCCGTTAAACCTCTGCAAAAAGACACAATGGAAAGCTGTAGAGAGTGCCTAAGATGACTAGTTGTGAGGACGGGCCATCGGGGAGGGTGCCCACTGAGGGATGCTCTCGGAAGGCTGCCTCAGATGGAGGCCTTGGGGAGGAGGGGCAGTGGGGTCTCTGAGAGTGCTCGGGAAAGGGTGTCGGCGGAGGACAGGTGTAGGCCTCGGAACTCGGGGTGCGACACGACCCTGGGCCCACCAGGCCGCGGCGCCCCGCCCTTTCCCGGGATGCGGGGCCGGCCTGGGGCAGGGAGCGGGCGGGCGAGCAGACGCTTACAGGTCGGTGCCGAGCCGCGTGAAGCCGGAGTTGAGCGAGGCCCGAGCTATCCGGCGCCAGAGCAGGTCGCAGCTGGTGAAGCGCCGCAGCCAGCGGCACACCTGGGCCAGGCGGCCGAGGGCCCGCATGTCCAGGTAGGAGCAGATGAGCAGCAGCAGCTCCTCCGGCAGGCGCCAGAGCGCAGGCCCCGCGGCCGGGCGGGCAGCCGACTCCCGAGCAGCTTCCTCCTCCTCCTCCTCCTCCTCCCCGGCAGCCGCCGCCATGGCCGCCCCCGTCCCCGCGATGTCGGCCCAAGCCTGGCCACCTCGTCCCTGTGCTCTTCCCGGCCTGACGCCCTCCCGCCGCCTAGCCCTGACCCTCCATTCCTCCTTCTTCCCATACTCTTTTCCCTGTGCCTCCTTCCCGGTTCCTGCGCTCCCCTTATCTCCCTTGATGCCTCTCGCCCCTTCCTCCACGCTTCCGCCTCCCTCTGCTTCCTCCCTCGGGCCTGCCCTCGCTCCCGCCTCAGCCCCCGGCCCCGCTGCCTCCTTCACCGTCTGCGGCCCCGGCTTCCCTTCCGCCCCGCTTCCTCTTCCGCCTTGCCCTGCGCTCGCTTTTCCCTTCCCCTTCCCTTTCCTTCGCTTCCCCCTCGCGACCCTCCCTTCCTGCAGCTTCCTCGCCTCTCCGCCCTCGCCTTCACCCGGCCCGCCGTTCCCGGGGGGCCCCGAGCGGCCCTGGCTGCCCATGAGCGGCCGCGGGGCCGGCCCGACGCGGAGCCCAACCCGAGCCGCCACCGCCGCTGCCCCGGGAGGAGGCGACACCATGTCGGACCGGGTCACATGGGGCGGCGCGGGCCGAGCCCTGGACCCGCCCCTCGCACCTGCGGCCTTGGATCCACTTCAGGGAGCGGGCTGGGGCCGGGGCGCTGACACCAAACCCGCATCCCCTGGAGCGCTTGGTGGAAGCACCGGAGTTGGTGCTGCAAACACGTGTGCCCCGTTTCGAGGCCCTGCCTAAGGCTAACCGAGGACCACCTGCCCTCAGGAAGCGGCCGGTTGGAGCACCTGCCCTCAAGAAGCCCCTAGTTGGGCGGCCTTCCCCATCTACGAGCCCTCCTCTTCCTCGAGTGATGCCCCTTTCCACGGGCCACCTATGGGGGTCCAACGACACTGCAGCCCTAGAAGTTGGCAGGTTCCATAGCTTAGGTTCTCACACAAGCTGCGAAGCATAGTCCTGGCATGAGTGAGCTTGGGGATTAGACATATTTGGGGATTTGCAGTCTTCTAGATCCTGAGCCCATAACTTCAAGAACAGTCATGTCGGGCGCGGTGGCTCACGCCTGTAATCCCAGCACTTTGGGAGGCCGAGGCGGGTGGATCGCGAGGTCAAGAGATCAAGACCATCCTGGCCAACACGGTGAAACCCCGTCTCTACTAAAAATAGAAAAATTTAGCCGGGTGTGGTGGCATGCGCCTGTGGTCCCAGCTGCTCGGGAGGCTGAGGCGGAAGAATCGCTTGAACCCAGGAGACGGAGGTTGCAGTGAGCCGAGATTGCGCCACTGCACTCCAGTCTGGTGACAGAGCAAGACTCTGTCTCAAAAAAAAAAAAAAAAAAAAAAAGTCATGTGTCAGGAAATGGCAAAGCTAGGGCTTCTTAATCAGTCACCACCCAAGTGCAAGTTGACTCTCGAAGGACTCAGCATCCGTTCTCCATACCACCCATTTGATTCACATGGCGCTAATCTGAAGGGTCCAGTATGTGTCCTCATCACATGCAGCTGCTGAGCATTTGAAATGTGGCTAATACAAACTGAAATGAGCTATAAGTGAGAAATAAACACCAGATTTTGAAGCCATACAAGAAAAAGAATGCAAAATATCTAACAATTTTATATTGGTTATGTGTTGAAGTATTAATATTTTTGATATTTTGTATTGGGCTAAATACAATATATTTTAATGTAACTACTAGAAAATTTTAAATTATACATATGACTTGCATTTGCGGCTCAGGTTGTTTTTCTGTTAGCACTGGGCTAGGCAGTAAAACTTGGAGGAGGGAAGGAAGATGCCTATTTCTGTCTGTTTATCCTGTACTCCAAATCCAGATAGGAAGGATTGGGGAGTTTTCTTTTGTACTTACCTACATCTTAACACCCATTTTCAGGGAGCAGGGAAGAATAAAAATAGACCCTGAAAATTATTCAACACCTAGCATAGCCAAAGAGAGACTTAGGCAAGCAACTACATTGTATTATGGTGGTGCGAGAAGCATCATGTAACAAGGTCAGACCGGAATCGGGCTTTGCCCTAGAATTACTTTTTGATCTTAGCAAAACAACAACAAAAGCCCCACCTATCTTGGCCTTTTAGTGTTCTCAATCTGTAGTGGAGATAATGCCTCTGCCTTACTTTCGAGGGATAAATGAGATGATCCCTGTAAAATGCTTTGAACTCCTCTAAGAAAATTCTTAATAATAGTTACAGGTCAAATCCTGTTACAAAAAATGCCATCCCTCCCCCCACAAATGCAACAAAGACTTTGTGTAGAAAACGATTTCCAAACTCAAGGCAGTGGTTTATTAAAAGCAGTATTTGATAGATTTCAATGCAGCCAAAGAATTTAGGCCATCTTTTAGAGATCATTATAAAGAAATTTACTTATTCACAGGTATTGTACAGTTAGAAGACTATTAAGGTAGCAATACTGCATATTTAGGTGATGTCATGAATTCAGCATTTATTGATTTTGCTGCATTTGTGTCCTGTGAGCTACTCAGGAAGGAAGACAGAGGAATATAGCAGGAATATGGCTCCTGCATTTTGTGTTTAGATTTGTGTTAGAGATGTTTGTAATTTCTTACTGTTAGTGTATTTTTTAGCTCGTTCACAATACATAGTAAAGCTGAGTAGTTGATCTATATTCTATCTCATTTTAGTGGAGACACTAAAACTTCTTTAAGCCAACATAAATCAAGTCAGGATTAAAATCCATAAGTTTCACAAGTGTAATTTATTTTCATTAATGGAGAAATTAATTAAAGCATAATTTTAAAACATCAAATCATCCTCGTTCACATCCAAACTAGAGATCAGATAAACTCTTAGCCTAGAATTGGTAATGTAATGATTTCCAAAAAATTCAACATACTCACTATGCAGGAAAGAAAGCAAAGCCAAAATGGAAAATTGGCATATATTCTCTTATTTGGTGGTGATGTGTATCCCTAAATTGCCAAACGTGATAAAGAAACAAACAAAAAAAACTTTAGCCTTAGCTCAGAGAAGCAGCTAGAATTTTTCATAAACTCTCCCTTCCCTTGCCCCCAACAAAGAAAAATCCAATTTGGGATGTAAACCAAACTTTTTAAAATTGCGTCATAAAATTCACTTTTAAAATTCTTTTTTCGGGATTGAGTGTCAGAAAAGCAGCTAAAAAGATGAGTTTGTAATGAAAGTAAATGCATGTCTTCATGGAGGATCTGAATAGCATTTTTCTGTCAAAGAAAATAAATATATTAATAGAAAAGAGGAAGGTCGAGTTTAGTGGACTTAAGAACATCTTTAAAAGTTATCAACTCCATTGAAGTTGAGATTCAGGAATCATCAAGAAATAATGTAGGGAGGTGAAATCTACCTTTGTTTTCATAAAGCTTTTTATTAAAAAAAAAATTACAGATTAACAATCCGAAACACTGGACAGAATATTGACTCGGTGTGGTGGCTCATACCTGTAATTCCAGTACTTTGGGAGGCCAAGGCAGGCAAATCGCCTGAGGTCAGGAGTTTGAGTCCCAGCTACTCAGAAGGCTGAGGCCGGAGAATTATTTAAACCCAGGAGGCAGAGGTTGCACTGAGCTGAGATTGTGCCACTGCACTTCAGCCTAAGTGACAGGGTGAGACTCCGTCTCAAAAAAAGAAAAACTTAAGACACAATATAAATTTCATAATTATGTGGGTATTTAGAAACACTAATGTTACTTTTTTTTTTTTTTTTTTTTTTTTTTTTTGAGACAGCATCTCAATCTGTCACCCAGGCTGGAGTGCAGTAGCATGATCTTGGCTCACTGCAGCCTTGACCTCCTGGGCTTAAGTGATCCTAACCACTTCAACCCCAGAGTAGCTGGGACTATAGGTGCCTGGCTAATTTTTTTGTTTTGTTGACGAGGTCTCACCAGGTTACCCAGGCTAATAGTTTACTTTTAAAGAGGATTTTAAAGCACATATACCAAGTTCTTTATGTTAGTGTGTACATGTAAGTGACATGCATAATGGTGGTTATTGCAGTTATAGGTAGCCCATAGCATATGTTTAGGATTGTAAAAAGACTATAATTTTGTGTTCTGGCCATTCTTATAAACAGATGACAGAATCACCTATTCACACATTTATTACCTTGGAGCTAGTAAATTTAACAGGAAAAGTATTCTGAGATGAATGAGTGATTATTTTGTGAATGACAGATTTCAATATCATACATGGGCCCAGATGCTCACCATTGTTCCTCTATAATAGCAGTGACTTACATTTACTGTAAACACTTACTATATGCCAGCTACTATTATAAGGGCTTTCCAGCCAGTCACAGTGGCTCACACCTGCAATCCTGGCACTTTGGAAGGCTGAGGTGGGAGGATTGAGCCCAGGAGTTTGAGACCAGCCTGGGCAAAACAGGGAGATCCTGTCTCTACAAAAGAATTTTTAAAAATTAGCTGGGCATGGTGACACACATCTGTGGTTCCAGCTACTTGGGAGGCTGAAGTGAGAGGACAAGTTGAGCCTGGGAGGTCAAGGCTGCAGTGAGCTATGATCACATCAAGGCACTCTAGGCTGGGCAACAGAACAAGACCCTGTCTCAAAAAAAAAAAAAAAAAAAAAATAGTTAATCGTGTAGATTTTCAGACTTTTAATACTTTTCAAAATCTTTTTTTCAAAATTTTAAAGGGATTGTTAGGAACTAAGTATCTTGAAAAAAAAAATTTAACTAAAATTTGGTAATTTATATTGCTTTAGCTTCATTTTCTTCAATTTCTTCATTTTGCTTCATCTTCATGTATGTACGGTATGTGTGAGCCTTTTTTTGTAAATTTATCTCTCTGTGTATATATGCAAAGGGAAGGTTTGTGGAATAATGTTAATAATGGTTATTTTTAGGTGATAGAATTTTGGGATTTTACTTTGTACTTTTCTGTATTACTAATTTGTTTATAAGAAGCATGTACGCCTTTACAAAATAAAGTCTTTTTAAAAAATAGAGTTGTAATGAGTCTCTACACCATGCAAAAAGGAGTTTGGTGATTTGAAGCCAAGATCATTGCCAGAGTTTTCACCAGCTACTCAAGTTTCCTCAAACCTTATTTAAATAAGGCTGGGTGTAGTGACTCATGTCTATAATCCCAGCACTTTGGGAGGCCGAGGCAGGAAGACTACTTGAGCGCAGGAGTTCAAGACCAGTGTGGGCAACGAGACCCCCATCTCTAAAAAAAATTTAAATGAATTATTAGTTAGATGAGGTGGTATATACCTGTAGTCCCAGCTACTCGTGAAGCTGAAGCCGAAGGATCACTAGAACCTAAAAAGGTGAGGCTGCAGCAAGCCATGTTCATGTCACTGCACTCCAAACTGGGCAACAGAATGAGACCTTGTCTCAAAAATATGAAAACTTTAAAAATTAAAATAAAATGTGTTTCATGTAATAGTGAAATAAGTAACAAGTTGGAGTCTTAGAAAGGAAAAGAAACAAGAAGCCTTCCAGTGAATGCTGTATTTGTAAACATTCAAGCTTCTCACAAATAGAGGAAGAGACTCTAAAATGTTATCTTCAGAAATTATTAGGTTGGTAGTTTATATCT